ATAGCTATAGCCCAGCTGCTTTACTTTATTTTATAATTTTAGTTACCATATAAATTTACCAAAATATAATTTTTAGAGGAAGGTGAAATGATGGTTTTTCACAGTGTTTTGTTAGTTCGAGGAGAACACTTTATCTCTTATTTGTATTTAATAAATAGGAAACCATAAAATATTAGGAATTTATTTAGGTTGATTATTTGAAGATTTTACAGTAAATAAATTATAAACAACACCTTATTAGTTCTAAACCAAAGTTCTTTCGGTCTATGCTTTCCATTATTTTTCGGATAATAGAAGTACATACCACAAGGATTACATAAAAATTGTTCTTTAAGGTATTTATAATATTTATTATTTTCTGTAGATCCACAATTCAAACAATGGCACTTTTTTCTTTCATTAATTTTGGCTATAATTTAAATATAGGAGGGATAATGCTAAAAATTTATTTACTTATTTTATTGCCAATGTAAATAATTCTGCTTTTTTCTTTCAAATATTCAACTTTTTGTTTTTCTAACAATTCAATTTTATATCCAATTAAATTAATTTCCTTCCAATAACTTGATAAAATTTTCTTTTTATAATTTTCAATGTTTTCTAGTAACATTTCTTTTTTATTTATTTTTATATTTTCTAAACTTTCATCCAATATAGAGGTCTCATAATAACTTTTATTTTTATTAAAATTATTCTTTAAGAGTGCCTTAAATTTATGATTCTAATTTAAGCTTTTATTTATAACGTATTTCTTCTAATAGTGCGACTGTCTCTATTAGACCAACACCTAATAAACCGACCCATAGTGGAAGGTTGAAAAATAAACCGACTGGTCGCACTATTAGAAGAAATACTATAGCTATATCAAAGTATTTTTAAAAACGGGACTACACAAAAATCTACTATTTTTTACTCTAATATTTTTTGTTTTGTTAATAAAATCGTAAATACCTGTTTTTCAATTCTATTCAAAAAATTTTTGATAATTTTATTTTTGGCAATTTCAATCAAAATTTTTCTTTTTAGTTGCCACTTATATGCTGACTGGTTATTTACCATAGCAGTAAAAGCATTTGTATCGGGATTTACTTCAAGTTTGCGATACGATCTAGTTTTATTATAGGGATAATTTTCAATTCTATTTTTTTGTTTAACATTCATTATCATTACAAAACGTTCCTTTATTTCAACATTTTTTAAATAAATAAATTCTCGATTTTCTTCCCAATCATCCTTGATTTTAAGTTGAACATTTTTGCCTTCACAATTAAATTTAAATAAAATAAACAAATGCAAAATAATTATAATAATTAATTTACTCATCTGAAATTTTAATATTTATTAAAAATATTGTTTATTTACAGACTTCGCATAGTTTTTATTTTATTTATATTTGTGTCTAAATTGATAGAAACAGCGAGAGTTTATTATATTCTCTCTATACGAACTCTTTACGAATTAAAAAGGTTAAAAATGATTAGAAAAGGTCATTTCTATGTTAATGAAATTTAGATGGCTTATGTAGTAATAAATAAGGTATAAAATGGTATAAATTTATCATAATCCTTGACAAGCATTTGATTAAAAGTGCAAATATATGTAAAAAAGACGGCAAAATTTTGAACTTTCTTTAATGTTTTTTAAGAAATATAGTGCAATTGAATAAATTTGAAAAATATTTTTTTCTAAAGCTAAAAATCACATGAATATTATTTTATTTTTGTATTTTTTCATACAAAAGGCTCCTTTTATTTACCTTTTTTTAAATGAAAATTGGCTGATGTTGAAGTTTTTTAATAAAATGACAATAAGGATTTTGACTTTTTGGAGGTTTGTTTCTGTTTGGATTTTTGTTGTTCTTCAATAGATTTTTCCGTACCTGTAATACCGAAAAGTATTAGTCCAGCAAAAGAAGTACCGCAATAGTGCCGAAACGCGTCAAACACTAATTTGAAAAAGCTCGGGAGGCTAAACATTTAAAATGTCCTTGGCCGCAGTCCTATTTCTTACACAAGTGAAAATTTTGGGTTTGAAAAATTTCGAAATAAATAACATTTATAAAAGTTTTATGAAATTTATTTTTATCTAATCGTGTCTAATTTGTTTCGAAATAAACGAATAAGTTAAGGAAAAGCTCAGATTAAAGCAAAAAAAGGTAAAAAACTACAAATAAATAATATTAAAAATAAATAGTAAAAAGTTTAATCAACTAGACTTTTTCTCTTAATTTAATAAAAAAAATAAATTTTATAGAATAACATCCTTCTTTCGCAGGCTCAATTTAAACTAAAAAAAAATATTTTTTTACATTTTTTAAATAAAAAGTTAAGTTTGTGTTACCCTTCTTTTTCTTATTTCCCAAAATTCCCTCTTTTTACGATCACAAAGGTTTAATTTTTTTACATAAAATGTGGCAAGCGATGGCTCAGACGTTTCATTTCTTTAAAAATGGAACAACTTCAAAAATTAAAACTTCTCATCTACATATAAATCTTCGTTTAATTTTGATGAATGGCTTGAGAATCTTGGATTTCTTCACGAGAAACGAACTTGCCACAATTGTGGCGGTAGAATTCGTAACAGATTTTCTGTTTTTTATTTTGTTTTTTAAAGGTCGCAGATATGGAATGTGGAAAAGGGAAAACATTAAAGTTGGAAGTCTGACCATTATGTACATTATTAAGAAAAAAAGTGGTAACACAAACTTAACTATTACATAAATTTATTCTAAAACAGGGCTCTCATCGACAAAATACCACTCAAAAGTATCAAAATCTCGATAAAAAAGTATATAGGGAGAAAATTTGCGAAAAAAAAGTAGTCTCAAAATTAAATTAGAAAATATTTATTCGTCCTCAAATCTTTCATATTTCTCTCGTAAATGAATCTTTTCTAATAATTTCTTGTTTCAACTGAGCATTTTGTCAATTTTAATGGACCTTTTGTGGCGCCGAAGGCGCCAAAAAATCTATTTTCTGCGCCGCAGGCGAAAATTTTGAGAATTTTGGAGGTCCTTAAGCCAGATTTCTTCCATTTTTTGCGCCGCAGGCGAAAATTTTGAGAATTTTAGAAGCCGTAGGCCAGAAAATTCACTTTTTTGCCCGATCCCTTCCTTAATTTCATTTTCAATCAAAAAAAAGTATATACTTTCAAAAAAGTATAAATTCAATTTCGTAAGTAGGGAGGTCGATTTAAAAGTAGAATACTTTTAAAAAAGTATAAATGAGAGCCCTGTTCTAAAACAAACAGTAAAATGATCGGCATGTGTAACTGTTCCAAAATTTCTGTTTAATGAAGGGATCACTCCATCTGTTAAATTAATACATAATTTAAATTAGTACACTGCATTCAAAAATTTATATACGCACCCCTAATTCTTAAGTCCCTAACTTATTTTCCTTTATTATTTAAATCATACATCCTCATCTCATTTCGCTTATTACCCCCAAAAATTATGCGCACCTTTCTTAAAATTTTTATTTGCTAAAATTTAAGCAAATTGGTATAAAAAATAATTTAAGGGGTTTTCAATTTCCTTATTTAATTGAAACAATTGATAAAATGTTTAATGAAAATAACAAAGGAAAATAGGTAATATGTTTATAAAACATTTAAAAAACTAGGGGTGCTTATCATTTTGGAATCCGAAAATTTAAGCTATTAATTTAGCACTAAAAGTAGAGTGCGTCCGAGTACGAGTAATTTGGAAAAACCCGAGTACGAGTAAAGCCGGGTATGAAAAGTCCGGGTACGAGTACGAGTTTCAATTTTTAGGCCGAGTACGAGTACGAGTAAATCGAGTAATCGAGTAATTTTTATAAAACAGTATTGTAAAATAATTTTAATAAAAACAATACTTTTATTCACCATAAATGCTGGGTATTGGGCATTTGTTGACACTGATGCAGGGGATCATCATACAAATACAAGTTATATTCGTTAATCCTCCGATATCCCTCTTAATCCGCCGAAATTCCATGATATCGTCCAATTTTATGTTAAAAATCAATGGATAATATAATTTCGGGGGATTTGTGTAGGTTATGCGGATATAAGTGATAACAGAGGAATGAGATGGATATCAAGGGATTAAGCGGGATTTGGGCTGATTATAGGGATTTGGGTGTATTAAGAGCAAAATCTGGGAAATTCGAGAGATTTTGGGATATTATTGGATTAGGTATGTCGTCGAAAGGTAATCACGAGATCCGTAGCTCTATCCCTCTTTTTCCGCTCCGCTGGTTTAAATTTTGAGAATTTCTGAAGGCGAAGAGGAACAACCAAGTTTCGGAAGGCCAGATCCTTCTCTTGAAATATCCGACTATAACTAAAATCCGCCCAAGTCAATTCACATCCTCCAATATACACATAAGTCTTCGTTTTCAGCGCCACAGGCGAAAATTTTGAGAATTTTCGAAGGCCAAGTTGCAAAATTTCTTCCCTTTTCAGCGCCGCAGGCGAAAATTTTGAGAATTTTGGGAGGCCAAGGACAGAATTTCTTCCTTTTTCAGCGCTGCAGGCGAAAATTTTGGGAAATTTGGAAGATCCTTAAGCCAAAAATCTTCCTTATTGCGCTGCAGATAGGGGCATAAAAATACTCGGTTTTAACCGAGTACGTCGAGTATGAAGTTTCCGAGTACGAGTAATGCCGGGTACTAAGACCCCGAGTATCGAGTACGAGTAAAGTTGTATAAAAGCCGAGAGATCGAGTCGGGTATACTCGTACTCGACCCGACTCGGACGTACTCTAACTAAAAGTAACAAAATTTTATTTTACCCACGTTCTGAAACTAAAGTTTCCGGTACTCTTTTTATGGGATAATTTTAGACTTTTACTTAAAATAGTTCGGAATGATTCTTATATAATTTGTCACCTGTAGTTTCAAAATGAAAGTTTTGTAGCAAAGCAGCTAGAATTAAATATATTTCCATTTTAGCGAGTGAATCGCCTAGGCATATCCCTATTAATAAATTACAAAATAATAAATTTTTAAGATAATTTATAAATTCAAAAATTCACTTTTTCCAACTCCAAAAGGTTTTATCAATTCCGATCCTTTGTAATTTCCCTCAGAATCCAAAAATCGCTCTGGACGAAACACTTCTGGCTGTGGGAATAGTGATGGGTCTAAATGGACAGCTCCCAGTTGTACCATAACTGTGGTGTCTTTGGGTATAATCCACTCACCCAACTTTACCTAAAAATTTATTTAGATTTCTCTTACTAAAAAATAAAAAAACTCGCTTCTTTGCTAACAGAATGTGGGACAGTAAAAGGCAACACATTAGCTACTCTTTGGAGTTCATCAACAAAAGCACGTAAATAAGGTAAATTATTTTGGTCTCTAAAGTGAAAAGGTTGATCACACAAATGTCTATCTATCTCGTCTTGTAATCTACGAGATATTTATTTTTTAAAATTAATTTTTATTTCCAAACTTTAATTGAATATCTGGATAATTCAACAAATAAACAATCGCCCAGGTCATTGTAGCAGCCACAGTTTCAATACCAGCGGCCCACAAATCTCCCGAACAAATTCCCATTGTTTGGCGTCTAAAACATTCTGTTAATGAAAGATATTCAAAAATTCAAAGAATTACAATGCCGGGTCCTCTATATGTTGACCCTCTGCTATAGCAGCCTGAAGATATGCTTCAATAAAGCATTCAGGCTCTTCCATCTCAGATTCTTTTAATTGTTTAGATTCTTTTATTTTATCAAGATGTATATCTACTTCCTTTAGAAAAAAACGTTGGAGTTCAAATCCTTGACGAACATATCGCCAATAAGCTGGGAATAATGCGCGAGTCCACGGACAAGAATTAACAATAAGCATTTGAACAGTAGCTACCTTTTTAAGGAATATTTATAATATGCAAATTTGCTTTAAAAATTTATTAGTTAGTAGGTTGCACATATTTTTTTATTTCTTTACAAGTTTAATAAGGAATCTAAGGGTATTAAGTGGGATGTGGCTGGATTAAAGGGGATATCGTTTGATTTAAAAGGATTAAAGGGGGATATCACTGGAAATCAACTTGAGCTCAAAATTCCAGATTCTTGGGGCCCAACTTTGCAGTGATTCAACACCATTAATACTGTCCTTAGAATAGTCCTACATCACGCATAATTTTCTCAAATCCTTTACTAAAATACTCAAAAGTTTCGCCTGCGGCGCTGAGACAAAGTTAAACCCCATTTATCTTTGGATTTATTAACTTATAAAATTTTCAACCTAATTAAACATAGATAAAATATTTTGGTGCATTTATAATTATGAAACAGAGCGTATGTTACCTCTTTAATAGTATTATCAATTAATTGCTTAAGGTGAACAAATTCCTTAAAATATTTCAAATTATATAAATTAATAAATGTAAATACTGGATGATTATATTCTGTATAATATCTACCAAAAAGCAAATTTTGGGTTATATTTCCAAAACAAAAATCGAATTGTTGAGCAATATCCACAACTATTCCATTTTTCTATAAAATTTCATTTAAAATAATATTTTTAAAAAATAATTTATTTATTACATTTTTTATAATTTCCGTTAGTCGTAAAATCAAAGCATTTTTGTGGACATTAATTCGATTTTCCATTTCTGAACGTCCCATACCCAATTTTCGAAGGGCTGCCATTGCTGCAGATCTGTTCTTTTTCCATACCTGTTGTCTTGATAAAACAATTCCTTAATAGATTTTTGAATAATTTTCCGGAAAAGATAGTTCCGGAAACTTTTTTAGTGTATTCGATGGGGGAGGGGGCTGGGGTGGTCTCTAGTTACTATTACCTATTTTCTCTTCTGGAATATAATTCTTAATTTATTTATTTTAAAAAGAATTTTTCCAAAGATACAAAAAAAATCTACCATCTCCGTCAGGTAAAAAATTATTGAAAACGCCATAACTATAGGAAAATGTTGGTCTGTCAGAGAAAATGTCAGCTGTAAATTGATATTTTTAATTGAATTTTTAAAATAAATAAACACCATAATTAGAGTTAACTAAAAGATCTTGCATTTGTTTATGTCCAGCAATGACCAAATAAGGTGTTGGTAGCCAAACTATTTTTTAATTGAATATAATTATATTTGTAAAAATTCAATTGTTCTTTCCACTAGTTGTTATTTAAACAAATCTAGACCTCTACATAGTACATTCTATGCCAAAAATAAAACATCCCCCAGTTTTTTCAGATAATTTATCTTTATTCTTCACCGTCCAGGTATGACCTTCGCATATGATCTAGCCCAATAAAAAATGATTGGTGGATAATTGCATGAAAGATTTATGAAATAGTCGTCAATATGAGATCATTGCGCAATTAAAAAGCAATTCGGGTGATTTGAAGGGAATGTTATATTTATTAAACAGATGTATTTAATTAAAACCTGGCCTAAATTAAATTTTTACCTGTATAAATCGGCCCATAACGTTGTTTCCAATAAACAAAAGAACGATGTGGATAACGTAAATCAAGCTATAATATATGTAGTATTATAAAATAGAGAATAAATTTTCAAGTATAATAAATATTTTGTGTGTTCAGTAGCTGTCATGCCGGGTTATTCCTTAACTGAAATTGGGGTTTTCTTCATATTACCCCTAATTATTTACAAATCGGGATATTTTCATCGTATCCACTTGGAGGCCGATATTAGTTAAAATCCTAAATGATGTTTTCGGATTCGGAAATTAAGTATTTGGATTTTTAAAATTCAAATTAAAAACCTTCGCAAAATTCCCAATCAGTGGAAAATGAAAAGGACCAGGTGGCATTTTACCCGCATTATTAAATCCGTTAAATAATCTCCATATTAATATAGCTAAAATTATTGTTGAAAGAGAATAAAAAATAAAAATGGAAGGAAGAAATAAAATCATTCTAGAAAAAGAAAATATAAAAAAATTTAAAAAAATTTAAATCAAACTAAATATACAAATCTCTGTTCCAATAGATAATAAAATAATAATTAGGTATATCTTTTTTTAAACGACTGAAGGTTATCAAATATTAGATCAATTCTAATATTAATAATTAGAGGTTATTAACATTAGATTGATCTTTATTTATCATCTTTTTTTAGTCTTGTCTTATAAAAAATATAGTTGCGACACAATGGCCATGATGACTGATTGAATGGTTGACAATGAAGGACTCTCAATATTTTTTAGTTTTTCTAGGGTGGTTTTTCTAATTTATAAAAATTAGAAGCAAAAGGTTAAACATTATATGTAATTTAAAATAAATTTTAAAATTAAAAATCTAAAATTAAATTTTATCAAAAAATAAAAGAGGAGCGTAATTTGTGTTACTAACAACTTTTTTCACTCGATTTATTTTCAATTTTAACAATCTCTCAATTTTTTTCATTTTTCCCTTCCCTCAAATAAATGATTGAGTTTTGTGTGTTTATGAGTGTTCAAAATAAATTTATTGAGTGTTCAAAGAGAAACTTTCAATTTTATTTTATTTTCGTCTGCCCCTTTAATGCTCAAAATGTGTGGTGAATCAATCAGTTACAGAAAATAATAAAAAAAAAGATTTAAAATAAAGTAAAAGTTTATGACAGACAAAATTAAAGGGCTTTGATTTTTTGGCAAAATTTTGGCTGTTTTGACGAGGATCACGGGTAACTAAAACGGGTACAACAGGGGCTGGAAATGCTAATAATATGTATCTTCCAAAATGCACATCAAGGAACAATTCCTTCAACTGAGCTCACAGCTTATTGCCAGAAACATAACGTTCGATATAAAGCTTAAAACTTTTCTTCTCTATATATTGGAAAGATGTGAAGAAACAACTATCCTTCATGTCGGCAAGCTCTACTTATCAGCAGAAATATTTTGGAAGCAACAAAATTAGTTATTTTTAAATTTCAACTTTTTTTGAGTTTATTCTAATACTATAAATAAGCAATAATTTATTTCAATATTTCACTAATTTGTGGCATTTTTGCCAACAATTTGCCAATATATTGCGATATCTTATGGCATTATTTTGTGATTTTATTTCAATAAATCTTAATTATTAATAATTAGAACTTAAACTGATTGACGACAGCATTTTTTAGTTACTTGCAAAAGTACATAAGTGCTTAGAAAATGAAAATATTTTTCTAATTTAAAAGTGAACCAAGCAATTAAAAATCTCACGATTTGTTTGTGCCAAAAAATTTTTAACGTAAATACATAGACAATTTTCTCAAAAATATTTTTTGTATTTTAGACAGTAAATTAATATTTTCATATTTTGATGAGAACTTTTTAATGGAGTTTTGCCATTAATTTTGAGAAATAAAAATTTTAACTTTCAAAAAAATGTCATTGGATTTACTTGATATTTTATTTAATTTTGATTATTTTGTTTGTATATTAATTGTTTTCCTTTAAATATTATTCTGATTATTTTAATCATTTTCAAAACGCCGAAAGAAATGAAAACACACAGTCGAATTCTGTTACAAAATTGTGTTTTGGATATTTTAATGTTAACTGTTCAATTGTTTGTTGAGGGGGTAATTAAAGACAGAAAATAAAGTTAAAATTTTAATTAGTTTTTAGTTTCATTTATTTGATAATGAAGTGAATACATATATATTTCCCAATGGAATTTTGCTTAGTTTTTTTATAAAAGAAAATTTTGATCCATTTATAGCTTATATTTTTCTAGTGTTTTGGGAATATATTCTTAATTTAAATTTGTTTGGATTGTGTGTTCAATTTATTTATAGATATTTAGTTTTGAACAGGTATATGTATAAAATGCTGTATATTCTTAATAGAGCTCCCGAGAGTTTATATAATAAGAACTCGCGTGAGTTATCAACTCTCCTCGAAAGGAGACCCAAATTTCTTCCTTTTCCAGTGCCGGAGGCGAAAATTTTAAGAATTTTGGAAGGCCAAGAAGCCAGATTTCTTCCATTTTGGAAATACAATAACAAATCTAAAAAAATTCAATTCTTAGGGGTGCAAGTTTAGAAAAGACCAAAAAAGTCGAGACCAAGATTTCACCCGAGACCAGATCGAAAAAATCCAAGTCTTACAATAAAGATTAAGAGTCTCACTCTCTACTATTTTTCAACTCTCCTCGAGAGGGGAGTATTATTTAAGATCGAAGTTCTCTAATTCAAGGGGGAGTACAATTATAGGATAAACGATAATATGTATTAAAAATATCTCTCTAAACTTTAAAAGGAATATGAAAATTAATTATCGTCATTATTTGTATATGGCATCAATAGCTTTAGTTGTAACTTTATTTTTTTCTTTAAATTTGGTTTTGTTTATTATTCCATATTCTAATGGGGGTATTAAACATTTTGATAATTTTAACAAAACTTGGCCGTTTTTTCAATGTAAAATGGAAACGGTGATTTTTAAATAAATAATATTTTTAAATATTTTGTTAAAAAATATGTAGGTGAATATTTTTTCACTTTTACCGACAGCTTTTGGTGAAATATTTTCATATTTAATAATAATTGTTTGCGGATTTAAAATGATTAGATATGTCAATTTGAACAATAATTTAGATGGAAATTTAAAAAGATTAAATAAACTTTTAACAAAAGTTTTGATTATTTTGGCAAGTTTTTTGCTTGAAATTTAGATTAAGAGAATTTTTTTTAATTTATAGGCTATTGTACCTTTTATCATCCAAACAGGAAACGTATTCCTCATGATTAATTCAAAAACAACCAACAATACAATGAACATAATCAGAATATTAATTTTCATTTCTTATCATTTAATCCCTGTATTTAACCCAATTATTTGTATTTTAACAAACACACCATATCGAGATGCCGTTTTTAATTGAGCGCA